CTCCATCTTAATATATTATATATGAAACATATACCCAAACTAGAGGATTTCCCAGCAGAGCACTAACGTTCATCGGTGAAGCCCAAATTTCGTTATCTGTGTAATTTCTAGAACTACTTTATTACTTATTTTGTCTTACTACGGGTTCTAAATTGAATTTAATACATAGTTAATGGAAATTTTCATAAATGCTTTTATACAATTTGATAGAATTCTTGCCCAAGTTTTTAAAAAAATAAAATACATAATGAAAATAGCTAGAGAAATCATTTATCCTACATTTATTATATAGCATTTTGATAAAAATTAACTCCTTTGACACATTTTTTCATCTTTTGTAGTCATTACCATTGTCACTCAACTTCTAAACTTGATTGAATTTCATGACTTTTTATTTGTAATTTCTTTCCACATATACATAAATACATTAATATGTGATTTACATTCATCAAAATGTCATTGATTAATTAAGGAATTAGACTAAATAAATATTTGGTTCTTTTCCTCCAAGTAACTTACAGGAAAACTACTGTTCACAGTATGCAAATTATCGTTGATGTATTTCTACCATTGGGGCTATAGTACACAATATTTATAAGTTATAAACGTCTTTCAGAGATAATTCAAATCAGAATTTTAATCGTTAATCACCTCTCCTGAAAGAGGCTCATTTAACAAACGTATATTGTGCTGACTGGTGAACTTTTACAGTAGTTTTTCTTTCTCTTTGCGTAATTAGGATATTTATTTTGTCTCTCCAAGTGGGAATTATCTGAAGAAACAGGACTTAATTTTTAAAACGCGGCTTTTGACGTTTTCAATATGGAAAAAAAACATATAAACTATTTTAGTTTACAACAGTATTATTATATAGGTGATGGTCAAGATATATCCAAATCAGCGGCGGTTAAAAACAAAATCCCAAAACGATTTCGAACATCAAGTAGTCTCCCTTAGGGTCAGCCGTAAGGTTACGGACTTACAACTCTAGAATATGGATTTTGATTCCCCAAGGTGGACAGAATGCAATAGCCCATTGTGTAGCTTTGCGCTAAAACAACAAACACCAAACGCAGACGAACGTCAGCTATGTACAAAAACAACGTAAAGAAATTTAGCTGACTTAAAATAATACTGCGGTGAAAGCAGACCACAGTGTAAGTCTAGCAGTTCGGTTTTCATGTTGGCTACACAAATCTCTCCGTCGCTCTGCATGAAAATAAGTTAACAAGTTCCGTGTTGAAGTATCTTGTATCTTATAAAGTGGAATTATGTTATTTTATAAGAGTGAAAAATTATTTTCTGATCTTTTTTTTTTGTGTGTCGTTGTTGCTGTTTTCGTAAGCACTTGAAGCAAACTATAAGCCGTTTCACTTTTAACGATAGAGATCTGTGATGATCATAAATGTAGTAAACAAGACATTGTGTAGCACAAAAAAGTTTGTACTGATGTCGGATCATAAGTTAGTACTTATCCATTAAAAATGGTACACAGAATGAGTTTCATCTTACACCGGAGATTGTTGTAATTCTGTATAAACTTCAATTCAGGTAACAGTAAACAGGCGAGTGGCAGACGCTTGAAGGCTTAGTGGGAGAATGAAACGCTGTATCACCTGATTGCGTGTATATGTTTTACATCTGTATTTATAAAAGGAAAGAAAAATTGTATACCGAAACGAAATCATTGCAGCCATTTACTTAGTTGTGTTCATTAGCTCATACTTTGTCAGTTATTTTCAGTTAGGGGGACACATTAAAAGTGGTAGCGTTGTTGCCTAAACCGCCGTACAGTTTTGCTGTATATCTGGCCAAGGGTATTGATCATGCAACTTGGCACCAGGCTGTGAGATGTATGTATCCCTTTATGGTTAAAAAGGTCAGAAATGCTATTGAAATAGCAGCAGTTAAAGGATTCTACTAAGCGTCCAGAAGCTCTGTGGCTTGGTTGCAAGGGCCATCTTGTGTAATGCTAGCGGTATAATAGTTCTCTTTCGTTCTTATCTGTACGCTAAAATTAACCCTTACTCTGGACTGTGGACTATTGTCTTGGTGACAGCTAATTTGTCTGCAGGATAGATGAAATGATTCACTGTGGCAAGTGATTGATCATTTGTGTTCATGTGTTATTTACACGCTAGAAGGATGATTGGAATTGATCGTTGTTGCTGGTTTGATTTTCTGTTTTTGCTTATTTATTGTTTAATTTTGCACAACGGGAGTGAACAACACAATTTCTTTGATTACTTTCCATAGATTTCTACAACAGCAACAAACAGATTGATTGAGAAAGATTTAGTTGTTGTATCTTTGCATATTTTATGAAGAATACTTACCTCTTTCGAATGTTTAATGAATGTTTTATCTATAAAAAGAAAATACATTTTAATCACACCTAACGATTGCATGCACGTTTTAAACTTTGGACTTAGATAAGAATGAGCATCACTTTGAAATAATAACGGGTGTGAAAACAGACAAAATTACACCTGCACGCACGTGATTGAACAGTTTTTTTCATCACAGAAATAACACTCGTACCTCGAGCTCGCTAAGGTGTATGGCACATTTACAGCGTGCATGCTTGTTAACATAATGATTGTTAAAATAATAAAATCCACAAACGAACAACGTTTTATAATACACAATTCAAATCTCATTCAGTGGGAAAAAAAACTGTTCTTTTGGCTCAACCGAATAATATGACTGCCTGAAATATTAGAGAAGCCATTGAAATAATGAAACACAGCGAAAAAAATAACAAACTTTATCTTAAATAAGGATGAAGGGGTAGAAAATCAGAAAGTATGTAGATGGTGTGATCTTTTTTGAATTGTAAACTAGTAGTCACATGACCATGGCTTTTGTAGTTATATAGCACACAGTAACTGTTTTTCACACTCCTGAAGATGACGTGAAATCACGTTGAAACATGTAGTGACTTTTACAACCGTTGATCGATTTAAATAAATATAATTTAATTGTATATTATAAAACGATGTTCATTTGTGCATTTTAATATTTATAAATTTCTTGAATTTTAAGTTTCTTGAACTTTAACTTTTTAACATAATTGTAGGAAGTAGTCTATCCATAATGACCGTTACTTTACGTTAGGAAGAAGTAGTTTATCCATAATGACCGTTACTTTACGTTAGAAGTAGTCTATCCATAATGACTGTTACTTTACGTTAGGAAGAAGTAGGTCTATCCAGGTAACTCAACACTCACTGCTGTTTTGAGGAGTAACAACAGAAACTCAATGCCTGATCTTTATTAAGGATCGAAAACATAAACAATGCTGATGCTGTATTAAGGAAGTGTATTATGTTATATTAAGGAGTAACTGCGTACTACCATTTTGTGTAGCGCTGCTGATATGTTAAAGAGTGATAAGATAAAATATTGCTCAATGATATTTGAGGAAGCGAATAATAATAGTGGTTTGCTTGCTTCTTTCCTTGTTTATCTTTTTTTCATTCGATTGTTCTGGCTCTATGGGGATTTATTTTTAAAGAGGACGTTTACGTTACTGACCATCGATTGTTGCAATAGAAGAATAACTCTCTGTAAGCTAGTAACTTAAAGGAGTACGTACATATTTCACTTGGTTTTGTGAAAGTGATTAAACAATTAAATGGTAAATACGAGTTTAAGATGGACACTGAATAGATCACTGTTGACTACAACATAAATGAACAATTCTATTAATCTCTTCTAGTTGTTTTATTGGAAGGCAAAATATGAACATATAATTGGCTTACCAAATAGCTGATCCACTATCCCGAATGGCATGACTACCATACAGACAAGTAGGTCAGCCACAGCAAGCGACAACAGGAAATAATTAGTGACGTTCTGGAGACGACGTTCTCGACATATCGCGAGACAGACTAGCACGTTTCCTAAGACCCCTGAAATAACAAACATCAGAAGAAGTAAGCTTAGCCAGTTATATCCGTCGATTAAATTAGAGGACGTATTGTTGGTAACCGTCATTGATTCTACAATGTTTTCCATGGTTTTGTTCTCATGAAGTTTCGTCAAATTCATTTCTCCTGTTAACGAAATCTCATCAGAAGCATTTGCTGTTGTTAGTTCCAATGTATTGTTTGAATCCAGATAAAATATGACATGTGTAGTTGACCGTAACTTGTCATTTTTTCTCTGTACGCCGGAAGCGGAATGTATGTCCAGGTAGATACCGCTCTCGTTCATGGATTTTAATTTATCTCCTACGGTTTTCTCAAGTGGTCAGTAATCTTATTGAGTGATCAGCATATGATCCCTCGTTTCGACTAACACTGAAAAACCTCTAGACCAGTTTGGTAGTAGATCGATCACAGAGGTACTTTTTTTTTTCTTCAAGTCATTGCCCAGTTCTTTGTGTGAAACAAACTAAGACAATCCTGTCTTTGTATTACTCTAAGGTTGATCGAACTGACAGTTGCAGAATGAACCCTAACAGTAATCTGTCTTGCTGTTACCTGTTGTGGGTTTTCTTGTACGTCAGACAAAAATCATGATTTCGAGGAGAGATCTTAGTGTACAACACTCTTCCGTGAAACAAGATGGTTACGGTATAGGTTGACGATTCTTCCTGAAATGAAGGCGTTTTGTTTATTGATGTAACGAGGGTTGTTAGCTCTACCGGTTGGCGTTTGTTTGAGCTGTAATAACATAAAACACAAGTGCTCTCTTTAACGGTTTGAAGATTAGAGCCCAACAAGAGTCGTGCGTGTTGTAATAAGATCTAACTTATTAAAAGTGAATGTTTTCATTTCTTTTTGTAGAACTGGAACTCCCCTTTCTTAAAGGTCATCTAAAGCAAAGGAGAGAGAAAATACATATTTCTATAATGTATTCTTGTATTACTCGTTTTTTTAAATTATCCCCTTAACAATAGCATCATTTCCCTCTCTTACATAATCCTTATTATGTATTACTCATTCTTTTAAGTATCCTATTAAGATTGTTATCATTCCCCTTTTCTTACGTAATCCTTATCATGTATTACTTATTTTTTGAAGTATCCCTTTAACAATAGCATCATTTCCCTTTCATACATAATTCTTATCGTGTATTACTCATTTTTTTTGAAGTATCCCCTTAACATTTCATTAACAAATGTAGATATAAAAAGTAGTTAAATACATACTTTTTTTTCGGAATCTTGTTTTTAGTTTAATGAACTGAACTTGTTAATTTCGTCATGAGTGATTAAGTATCAATCATTCGTTTCTATAGTTGAGCTGTAAAGACACGCGATAACAATTTGATATTTACGAAATTGTACTAAATCGAATTTTGATTAATTATGGCCGAACTTCATCTTGGACGAATTAAAATTCCTTTGGCGATGAACTTTTAAAATAAATGTTATTAAATTACACTAGAAAATGGAACGTTGTAAAACATATTTACCTTCTTTTCAAAACGATTAAGACATATTTTAGGTTTTTTTGGTTTGTTTTAGAAAATCGATGTTTTATGTTCTGACAGTCCCGGCATGGTCTGGTAGTTAGGGCGTTCGACTCGCAATCTGAGGGTCGCGGGTTCGAATCCCCGTTCCACCAAACATGCTCGACCTTTCAGCCGTGGTGACGATATAATGTCACGGCCAATCCCACTATTCGTTGGTAAAAGAGTAGCTCAAGAGTTGGCGGTAGGTGGTGATGACTAGCTGCCTTCCCTCTAGTCTTAAACTGCTAAATTAGGGACGTCTAGCACAGATAGCCCTCGTGTAGCTTTGCGCGAAATTCAAAACAAATAAACAAACAAATTATGTTCTGACAAGTTATATATACAGATAAATATTTGGTCACCATGACCATTATGCCGATTATCAGTATTAAAAGATTGAGTTAGAGATTTTACTTTTAGACTCTGCTTTACTTATAAGGCGGTTAATTTTGCATAATGCCATTTTATAAAAAATCTCATTTTTTCATGGGTGTTTGGGGCATCCACGGATCGGCGCCTGTCGTCCAAGTTCAAGATTCCAGCTTTTCGTGGAGTTCAGATATTTCAAAAACCACCTGGATAAAGTTTAAAGACAAATCGAGGAATAAAGAAAAAAAAATTGACATATTACCTAATTCTTGCATCATGACGGTTTAGCTGTGTGTCTAATATTATGAATAAGACATTTCTACGTATTGAATGTAACTTTAGAATCATGCGCTTCTAAAAATGACGTTGAGTTATTTAGAGATTGTGTTATTTCATTTTTTATAACTTGTATATCCGCTGATGTCAATTTTTTGCTGTATTTGATCAACAGAACCCATTTTTAAAGGTTATAAGTTGCTTACATATTACTTATGTCTGACAAAACCTGGCAGTGTCACTGAGAATTTTTAGTTTGGTCCAACATAAAGAATTATTGTGTGATAGACTTGTGTAGATTAAGTCTCGGTGTTTCTCAAGGGATGAAAACGGAGAATTGTTTTGTGATAGACTTGTGTAGATTAAGTCTCGGTGTTTCTCAAGGATGAAAACGGAAATTCACTTTTAGCGCAACTTCCTGAACAGCAATTCTAGATATTGAAAATTTGTAGAAAAGAGTTTCATGAGATGAAATCAAAATGCCTTAGTCTTTAATAAATATCATTCATTTTGTTACATTCGTTCCCAGTACGATCAGTCAATGACAGATTTAATAAGTTACAGCACGCCAGAGGGTGTCGGGCGAGTGTGCTTAAAATGTTGTGTTTCTCTTTGAGAAGTAATAACTTCAACCTTCTGCTGATACTACAGACTGTTCATATATTTTTTTTTTGTATCATATTAGTAATTATCAATAAATATTGCGTTTTGTGATTGTTAGTTTGATGCAGTTGTATGTATGTTCAGATTTACTAATGTCAATGCCCCCCCCCCCCAGTGGCACAGAGTGGTGGGCAGAGCACAGATAGCCCATTGTGTAGCTTTGTGCTTAATTAAAAACAAACTAACTAATTAATGTCAACTTTACAGTAAAGCTAAATCCAACTCACTTTCAGCATTTTTATAATTTCGGTTTGTAGGCCTTACATCCAGCTTCCTGAATGCGTAAAGTATATAACAGCTTCAGTTACGAAGAGAAAATAATATACCAAACTTAAAAACTATTTAAGATGTGTGCATACTACATCTATTAAGCGTGTGTATTTCAGCTTCATTTATGTAAACACACTACCACTAGTATTTATGTACCTTAAGACATATGCTATACTTTATTTAATGTTAGCTTTATTAACAGTATTGGTTAGAATGTTTAATATAGTGGTTTTTTTTTATTAAGATATGTTATTATATTTATTGTTTTTGATTGTTAGCTCGGCATATTGATTTAGAACTAACCTAAGTCTTCCAAGTTGGCAGAACATCAAGAGTTATTATTGGGATTACGTCCGAAAATATATCTTTAAAACAATTGTTCAGTTGTTCAAAAAATACATTTTAACTTATAGAATTAAGAGCGTAAGAACAGTATGTTTTATTTGGCTATTCTCATTACTAGGTCGATTTTATTTGTAAATTAAATAGATAGCTTACATCACAAGTTAATATTGTTTTTTGATAATTATGTTCCATTTGTTTCCTGACTTAAAATGTACAATTTCTACATTGCTTACCTACGAAACAGTTATTTCAAATGTTTTTTGATGTTATTAACTTTTAGAATATGAACGTACACGGTACGTTTTGACAGTTAAGTACTTTAAGCAGTATTTGAAATATACAAAAATTACTAGATTTGAAGATTTCATGCCCCCATTAATAACATGATAAAAACACATTCGTTTAGAAATTTGAGCATTCTCTGGTTTTTCCTAAGACATTTTTTTCCTGTACCACATAAGTTTATGACGATAAATGAGAACGCTTTAGGAAAAGCTTTGCGAATTATATTTAAAAAGTAATAACACAAATAATTATGTTATTTTTACGATCCGAGGCATTGGTCATTTCTACGTGGTATGACGTATTTTATTTAGTATATACCCTGTTGTTAAACTAGGAAGACTTGAAATGATTTTAATGCTAAAGATATATAGAGTTGTCCTATTAACAGTGTCGGCAATAAGATATGTATAGTGTAGTATTTCTTATTAACTTCGACTGTAATTTGACTGGGAACTTAGCTTTTGTTTCTTTGAGGTTTCGGGGGTTTTCACCAGACATATACTTTAATTTACAGTCAACGTCATTTAAGTTTCCCGTAACGATGATTGTGTAATATGAACTTTTTCGGTTTGTATATTTATGACATTAATGTTCGTTATATATTATGCTTTTAGTTGAATGCGTTTACAAACTGCCGTTCTTTATCACCCGAATTTAACACTTTAACAAACGCCAAATCACTTGCGTAAATAATGATGATGGTAATGAAAAGCGTATCAACTAATTATTTTATAAAATATAGAGAAGTTTGTTTTATGTCAGTTGTGATGTGGGTGAGTATTAAATAGTAAACTGCACTAAAGGTAAGCCATCGCACAATTGACTTTAATACGCTTGATTACAATTTGCTTTCAATACGGAAGGAAACTTTATGAACCTAGGTGAAGTTACGAAGGTCTTAACCTTCCAGGTTCGCGCTGTAACGAGGACTTATTATTTTACAGTTTCTATATGGTAATTTTCGTAATGAAATACTTCAGGATAAGGTGGTCTTAAACTCTGTATACACGTGCTAATTTTTGAATGCTTTGTATGAACTACTTACCTTACTTGTGCGAAATGTACAATAAATACTCTTTCAATATACACATCGTGTTGTAGATAGTTAAAATGGAAGTTCAAGACAACTTTGAACAACAACAACATAATAAGAACCTTAACTTGTAACCGAAGATGAGAGAATGGTAAACAAAAAAAGACACCCGTGTTCGAAGTTTTATATCAGGACTACAAGATTTTAACATATTTATTTTTTATGCTTTATCTAACTTGGTCTATTAAGAAATCTATAGCAGTAACAAAAGGTCAAACCCACTTGAAGGTTTTTATGCTTACACGTGTGTCACTAACACTAAAGTATAGTTATCATCACTCTCACAGCGATAAAAGCTAACTACGTCTTTGATTCAGAGAGCGATTCAGGCAACAAACTCGTGATGTTATGGATGCCTGGATTTCTCTGTAAAAATGTCTTTACTGTAGAGCATAAGACGAGATTTTGACTTCACCTATTGAGTGATTAATTGTTCATGTATTTTATGGCTGCAGACTTGTTATAATGAACTTGGTTTTGAACCGATATGTATATAGTACAAGCTGTGTTTCCACGCAGGTTGTGTGAAGATAATGCCCATGTTACCTGTTTTTAATAGTCCTTAACCCCCACAGACTCAACGGTAAGTCTAAAGGCTTATAATGCTAAAAACCGGGGTTCGATACCCGTGGTGGGCATAGTACAGATAACCCATTGTGTATGTGTTTTTGTGCTTAATAAACAAACAAACGTAGACATTAATTTTAAAAATTACTATTTGATATTCCAATTTTTAATGCTATGATAATAAAGTATGTACTATATATTGAGTAACAGGATAAATTATTCATGTGTAGTATAAAATGAAACACAGATAATCACTAAATTCTTCATCCAAATGGAAACTTCTTTCTTTGCTACTTGTGGTCGCTTATCTCTTATGCAATACTTCTAATCTAAGCTCTAATATTCGTTTCACTGCTTCGACCGTATAACCAAACGTAGTTATAACTACTAGTCAGCAGTCCAATTCATTGAAAAAATCTAAACCAAAAGATGACAACTATTCCCACATTCTATGTTTATTCATACGTCCTTTCATGCATTGAAAGTAACCTAATCACTTCTGCATATTTAACATTAATATGATCCATTCATGGCACGTGTATCACCGAACTTGTATCTTATACCCAATTGTTCAACTGCAACAAACGAACAGAAAGAACTTTAACTGGATTATACTGAATTGAGTGGAACTCGTGTGGATAACGAATTGAGTTAAAATTTGTGAACATTTTTTATTCAACATTTACAGGATAATACATTTTGAACTGTATTTATACTTATGTGATGAAAAGATTTCCATCTAATAGTTGGTGTTTCAATTTTGTGTACGTTACATCTAGACAAGTTGCCCCACATTCTAGGCTATTCTGTGTGGCTGGTTTCATGACGTATATGGTAAGGTAGCACTTGAAAGTATCCACTGCCCAAATGATGAAAGAATCTAGTTTCCAAGTAACTCTTCATGTTTATCTATACATTTTTTGTTTGTTTTTTACGGACTGGCATTGTTTATATAAGGATGGAGCTGAAATGTGCGATAGGAATTAAAAAGCTTTGTTAAAACTATACCACTTTTACGATCTTCTTTAACAGTTAGAATTCTCGAGATTTTTGGCCGAATAGTACATAGTAGTGATTGCATTATACGTCGCTAATTATATATAGTTAAAAGTTTCTCTGTAATCTGTTCAGTTGGGTTTCAAGTTAATTGATATTCAGCCGTTAATATTGTTAACATCTTAAAAAACGCATTAAAGTTTCTTCAGTGCGGTGGAAGATGGCGCTACATTTTTACTGCGGGTTTTTGCATGCATTTCAGTTTATTTTTGGTTTCTCATTATTTCTAAGTTATAAAAAAAATACATTCTGTTGTACATTCAGCATTTGTCGATTTCCCTGTCCTTCTTTTATGCTTGGTTTTTAAGGTAATATCATTTAACTGCATCAATATGTGGCTGCTTTGTCAAAACCGAATGTACAAGTTGTCGTTGGCTTGGGATCGACGAGTGCCTGCCTTCGAGAGCCTTTCCTATCCCAGAGAACGTGTTCAATAAGGCCGAATGATATTCAGCAAAGTAAAGCTGTTTGTCAGTGTGTGGTTGCGTCAGAAAGACTAAGCCAGGACGTGCGAAATCGACTTTTAATCTGAAAAGGTTTAATATCTATATACATCCTTTTCTTAAGGGATTTTTAAAAGAAATTATGGTGTGGTTCTACTTGAGCAAACCTACAGTGTTCTTGGGTTTGGTAAAGAATGCATATATTTTTGTTCATTGTTTTTATCGTTATAGTACTTGTAGGCACGCTAGATTTATCTTTTATAATAAAAGAGCCTGTATGTTTGTGTGTGTGTGTGTGTGTGACCGCCATAGCTCCAAGATGAAATACCTGGACACCTGAAACATTGTAAGCGTACTAAGGGGATTCTAAGGGTGTGCGCCTGGCTATTATTTTTTAGATTTGATTCAAAAAAGTTTGGCTAATTTTTTGTCTTCTAGCCCTTAAGCCCCATAATTCTGCTTCCTGAAGGTCTATGGAAAAGCCTTATATTATTTTCTAATTCTCACTTACTGAATGAACAATATGTGGAGGTTTTTTGATGAAATACTATTTTTCAATACACACATGGGAAGAAAAATACAAATCTGAGAATTAAAAAAAAAGTTGAATTGAACTATAAATATGAATCAGGGAATATTAGAGAATTCAAATAAAAACACAGGAAGTAAAACGAATCTGAGAAGCTAAATTAAAACTATTTGCTTTGAAAAAGAGTTGAATTTGAATTAAGTTAGGGAAATGGCAACAGACAAATCAATTAAAGAATTGACTCATTGGAGTAGAAGTAGTTAAGATAATGGAGATGCTTGACTGGTACGTTGAGGCCTCTGTGAATCATGAGGGGATCATAGAATTCCGCAGCGGAGCTTGGTATTTTATGCCAGTAAATAATATAACAAGAACCAGAGAAGATATAAATGTTTGTAAGTAGCCCATGAAACCTTAATTGTTTCTACAGTTTTTTCATTTCTCATAGTTCTTGCGGACCGTTGAGCCGATGGCAGATCGTGCTCTGCCATCGTTTCTAAAGCTGTTTCTTACGTCAAGGACAGCCCACTTGACAGCCTTCCCTCTTTGAAAGGATGAGCATGTTTGGTGTGACGGGGATTCGAACCCGCGACCCTCAGATTGCGAGCCGAGCGCCTTAACCACCTGGCCATACCAGGCCTGTTTCTACAGTACTGAAGTGTAATACAAATTAGCTTAGAAACATGAAACAAATTTGGATTTTCAGGTTATAAAAATGTAACCGTTTCAACGTACAGGTCATTTTTAAGTTGAGGCTGTACAGAATGGAGAAAGTAGATACTTAACACACATTTTTTACATCTGTTAAGTAACTTTTATGGAAAATTTAACGAACATGTGTACTCTATTTTTTACCTTGCGAATGTTCCTCGTTGGCTTATGGAAAAAAATCAAAGTAGCGCGCACTGACGATTACATTATTCGAGTTCACTTTTCTGTAGACTAAGCGTTGTCAACAAATTACATATATGTTTGTGATGTATTGCTATCACTAGGTAATTATGTACAAGTTAATGTAACAACTTGAAGACGGGGTAATGAGAGCAGAAGGTATCTAGTCGTTAAATAGATTTTTCTCCTATACTTCCACAGATAAAAAGTGAAAACTTTGTTAAGGTTAATGACCTTGGAGTGTATATTATTACCTAACTATCGGTGTTGAAGAGTATATAGTTTTTGTTCATATCTTGTATGTGGGTCTTTATTCCACAGAAACCGTTTTCTTTTCACTTGTCAGATTTTTGACAGTTATAACGGTGGACCCAAGGTATCATTAACAGGTTTTAAAAGAAATTTAAGTTTTATTGTTGCAAACCTTAATATGCCCTCATGAACTGCTGTAACTGAAACATAATTCCTTTACTCCTTAAACAATAACCATCTTCCAGTCCAAGATTAAAGTAAAACCACGCTATATTTTACAAGATGGCTAACATTGCGAAACTTCATTAGTGACAAATATAGATCAATAAAAAACATTTGTAAAATCCTGATCTTATCTGAAAACGTTTGGTCCTTGTAAAATGAGGTTGGAACAGTGAGCTAGTTGTATTTTTGATTGTTTTTTAATAATAAGAGAGCTTCTCTCTTGAAATATCTAAATTTCTTGCATCTCAACATGCGTGCAAAACTACAAGGCTGCATCATGTAGCTAAGTACTTATCCCCTTAAATATTACTTTGAAAGGATTTCAGTTTCGGCCCTTGTTTACGTTGTTTGTACTTCATAATTATTCAGTTTGTTTGTTTTCTCTCTCTTTCAGAACTTAATGAAAATTCTGAGGTCAGTTTACAAAATAAAAGATTAGATTTTAGTAAATTACAAAGTGCTGTATACTTAACTGAATATTAAATTCCACTTCAATGGTAAATAATAATCTTATTTTTGTTGTCCTTGTTGACTTGGGCTGGTAGGTACAACGTTATTTTCAACATCCACACTTAACGAAACGAAAAACAATAGTGGCACAAATGTACTTACCTTCTTCATGATCGATTTGTGTATAACACGATTTCGATAGATAAAGGGCTTGCACTGGATATCATAATTATATATATTGTTCACTGAGCTGTTTTATTATCTGGTCATGAACTGGTGACGGAAACAGAAGTGGGGCGGTACATTTTCCAGCAACAGCAGCACTGAACTGTGTAGTGGCCGTGGATGCCACTCGACTTCAATGGACTTGGATGTTACGTCAGTCTAGACCAACTTTCCCATAGGTGGAATATATTGACGTGAATCGGGAACGAATAACCACAGCTGGCGACGACACAGGTAGTTAACTCTCAACAAATTTGAACATCATTCGTATAGTAGTTAAAATGATCTAACGAACTTTCAGGATGTGCACATTTCTCAGGATTCTGTTGACCGGCTTTTATTAAATAAACACGAATTTAGACAGAGAAATAAAAATTCACTTTCATTTTGTGTAAATTATACTAGAATAATATGTGTTAACAAAGTCATGTATTCACGATATTGTTTTTGTCAAATCGATTAACAAACGTATAAGAGTAAACAAAAACAAAATAAGTGAAAACAAATCCTTCATAATCAATTAATGCGAGGTTATCGTTATTGGGAAACGGCGATTACAACATGCTGTAATGTGGCAACTACGATAACAGAGATAACGTATAAAATTATCCAAGACATACTTCGTAACAGAAGTGGGGGAATATCTGTAACGATAAGCACTACAAACTCGTGAAGAATTGGTAGACTTATTTTTTGTACTACCGTCAGGTTAATTATATTAGTGAGCTCATCTTTACACTACATGTAACCTATCTCTTTACTACCAACAAGTGAGAGTTTAGCAGATTTGTATCTATTGTACCATCAAATGAGGGTTTGGAGAACTTACCTCTATATTACCGATTTCAGATCGATTTCTTCGTGCTGTTTTTGCCACATAAGTTGTGACAGTTTTATATTAAAAAAGATTTATATCTTGCTAAGTACAAAAGTTGTCAACTGCTTTCTCTAGTACTTGTGCAAGAGATACAATTCTATCCATTCAGACATTTTACTTGTCAGTTATAGTCCGTGTTCTTCCTTAATTTAGGAAATGACCGTCACTCACATATAGTTGACAAAGACTAGTCACTAATATTGTTTTTTTGGAACAGCCTGTAAGCCTCACTTGAAGATAAAAGAGAGTCAATAAATCTGTTGAGTTCCAGTACAAGAAAAAGAACATCAGTAAAATAACAATCAGTTAATACTTATGAAAATACTAGTAAGGGCAGCTACTTGACCGTGTTACTTTATACAACAGAAGAAGCAATTAGTTGAAGATGAATGTTTCACATGTGACGAGGACGCTGTGAGAATGTATCCTGAAACGAAGTTGAAAATAATTTAAAGTTCACTTTACAGATACTGAGATTTTACAATCAGTATTAGGAGTATACAATGTTTTACACACACGACATAATATCGTAAATGTAAGGGGTTTATATTTTGGATCTACGGCACTTGCTCTTACATACGTCTACAGCAATTAAGTTACACATACATATACAGTGTAGCGTGGGCATGAAACGGAAGGAAACAGTATTATAGTTGGACGCTAGCAGTGACACTGTTTCTGGGAGCTTAAGAACCAGGGTGGGACGCATACGTATACAGAATATATTTAAAAACAAACAAATGGATTGTAATAAGAGAAATGTTTGAGGCAGGAAGTTAATTCTCATAGAAAGACTTGCACCAAATCTGAAGTGTTTCAAACTCTCCAATCATAAGGTTGCAAAGAAACTGAAAAATCCGAAGAGTTGTGAAAATTCGTCGCATGGATTTTGTAGGTTGTTCTGGGCGTTCTCCCTCTTAAAGAGAACTACTGTTTTAAACTACCAGTACTTATTTTTGTGAAGATACGTTTCTGAAATCATAATGCATTTTTGAACGATTACTCTTAAAACGTTTTAGCTGCAAGTCTGTAAAGTGTAGGTTGACTAAGTAACTTAGTGGTGAGCATGTAACTTACATGTAGAACTATATGCCCATCAGTAGAAAACCATACCCGTTAGACATCATTCGGCTATGAAACTTCATCTGCCAGAGGTATCTGGAAAATCAAACTTCTGGTTACTATGGATTCGGTGTATGGCCATATTAATGACACTCGAGCCACTTCGGTAATAGAATGTGAAAAAGTATTTAATGAAAAACGTCTTGGTTTGTCTTTATGAAATCTGGTGAAGTTGTACGAGTGTTAATGAAAACTTAAATTCACACCGGCACTATCAAGCAGGCCATATTTGTCATCTCTACATTTACTTCCTTTGTTTAAAAGTTTTATCTTTACTTGTATTAGTTAGTGCAGTTATGCTGTGATTGTTCCATGTAATGGTTGGTTTATAAATGTCAAGGTTTCGACAGTAAATTTTAGCGAAAACAACCATCACATATCAAATGTTTTATGGGGCCTAACGTTTGTAAGTTGAATTCGACTTGATGAAAAACAATTGAAGATATACTGACGTGTACACACTTGGAATTCTGTAAAGAAAGAGAGAAAAAAGAGGACTGTTTAAGCCGCCCAAAAATCACGTAAAACTGATTCGGGCAAACTGTTTTTTCTTTTGGAATGGAGATAAAAATTATAATTTCATGAGTGCACTCGTATCTACTTATGAATAATTTAATGTTATTGTATTCACTTAATTAAGGTGACGTGAAAGCCAGTTACGCAGAAAATGAACACCAGATGGGGACACGGATCTATATAAATAAAAAAAGCTTACATAACTCGTGATGAAGGGGTAGTTATAGTTTGTGCCAAACTCTGTCCGTAGTCGAAGTTCTATCCTGGCGGAAGGTCAAACAAGCATGAAAAACTGCGACAGCATTAAACGCAACTTGACGAAGGTTACCAAATGGTAATATGTTTAACCATAGATGGTGGAAACGTGGGGTCATGAACCCCAACTTTAGTATGAGAAGAGTACGCACTACACGCTTCTCTAAATTTCAACATATTTACGATTTCCTAAACGTGAAACACTATAACACTAGTTGTAGTGGCTTGGTTATTGTTAAGCACAAGACTACACAATGGTCTATATGTGCTGTAGCCACCGTAGTTATCGAACCCCGAATGTTTGAGTTAAAAGCCCTCAGACTTACCATTGAGCCACCGGGAGGCAATTTAACGGCCGGTCGTTGTTCGATTTATTTTTGGCTTAAAATACTTTAAACGTTACAATATGTAACTAATCTAGGTTGCCCATCGTGATATAAGAAAATAAAAATTGGAATAATTGGTTACATCTAATTGCATTTAAGTTTCGGTTTCCACTCTTTTGTTGGGTCTGCATTATTAAAGATAAAACAACAGCTGTGAATGTAATGAGTGTTCCATAGTCACCATCATTGACCTTTCCTCTTCAATTTAAAATACGTTCAATAGCGAGCATTAGTATCGGTACTGTATTAAGTATTGTTATTGGTAATCATTGCTGTCTACACTTTGTGGTGGTTAGTGTTCCAGTTGGTATACAACTTGAAATCTTTAGCATATATTATAAAAATTAAGACAGCTATAGGGAAAATTGACTTTGCTAAATATTTATATATATATTTAGTCGTAAGCATACAGAAGTTTAACGATTGTTACGCGAAATTTTATCTATTTTTTTGTAAACATTGTCTGCAAAGGTACTTTTTTTCGTAACTTACATAAATATCTTACAACTGTATTACTTAAATATTCAACGTTTGAAGTGAAATGAACAGTTGAGTTGATTGACAAAAAGTCGCACGGCATAACTAATTTCGTACTTCAAGAAGTAGCAGTTGAGGAGTAATTTTGATGTTTTAACGTTTTATGTTCAGTTGCCGAGTCATTTTAACATACTTAACGTTTTATGTTCAGTTGCCGAGTCATTTTAACATACTTAACGTTTTATATTCAGTTGCCGAGTCATTTTAACATACTTAACGTTTTATGTTCAGTTGCCGAGTCATTTTAACATACTTAACGTTTTATGTTCAGTTGCCGAGTCATTTTAACATACTTAACGTTTTATATTCAGTTGCCGAGTCATTTTAACATACTTAACGTTTTATGTTCAGTTTCCGAGTCATTTTAATATATTTAACGTTTTATGTTCAGTTGTTGAGAATGAACAAGACGCGATGCCTTATACCTATTACATTATTCACGTTGTGTATTATAATATTCTGCGTATATATATTGTGCTTTAGAAAATAATGTTTTTCGCGTGTATGTCAGTAGAATACATTATACTTATTGCTTTAAAGCATGCAAAATAGCGTAGATGCTCATTTGGAGCTACTCTGTTTCACATGTAATATGTATTTAGACAGGAAAGTTGAAAACCACATACGCTTAAAAAGCATAGATGGATTACAGATATACAGAGAGATTTGCAATGTTATATTAAAACTATTTTAGAGCTTCATCGCGTTGTTGTATTCTATGACGCCACGTCCGGTCGTGTTCTGTCTGACTACCATGCACTTTCAATATAGCCCTGTAGCGTAATTTGCATTGCAGCATGTTCCTTAGTGCGATTGTCACGTCCAAGGCACACCGCCTTTTTTCTGCTTTCCATAAACCATATAGTGTCTGAAGACTACGGTTTCCCATCGCCCATTTCAATCATTCGTACAGAAATCCATAGACTCTGCGTCCGGCGTCTTGTCCGGTGCGTATTTGTATAGAATTGCATGTTTACCACTTTCATATTCAATTCGCTTGGTGTATCACACGGTTGAACGGATTCTTCCTGGAAGAAACGTGTGCGGTAACTTGCGTCGCTATTCCAGACGGAGATCCTTTATATCGTTTTAATATAACGTGCTTAACCCCCTGTAGAAGTCGGATAATCTGAGCGATTTCTGAAGTAGACCATCTTATTCAGGATGAAGTCCGCTGTGCATTTCAAATTAGCGGTATGTTATCTCTGTATTTGTGCTTGATGTTAATTATCTCGATTATAATATTTGGCTTGAAATGTATTAACACAGAGGATTTTGCTTAAAGATGGCAATGAATTATACGTCTGAAAGTATAGATGAAGGA